CATTTACTGTCTCCACACCAGTCATGATTTTATAGACCTCTCTCATATCCCCCCCTTAGTTGTCTCTTTTCCAAGCTGAAAAGTCCCAGTCTTATTAATCTCTCCTCATATGGCAGCTGTTCCAGACCCCTCATCATTTTTGTTGCCTTAGACCATCATGAAGAGCAGTAAGGCTGTGATTCTCAGACGCTGTGCAGCGTTACAGTACTGGAATCAAGGCTCTAGGCTCTAATCGCTACTCTAATTCTCAGCCTCTCTTCTCTGCCCTAGCGCCTGATGCCTTTGTTGCACATTCGCATTCCTGAACTGGATCACGAGCAGCTCCAAGCCTCATGCTCACCCAAAGGCAGTCCCTAGCGTGGGTTAGAACATGTGCAGTTGAATGGGCGATTACAATCAAGGGCTTAGTCCTACAAACTGGGGCTGTTGCCTGAGAAGCATTGGAAGTAAGGCGTGTTCCAGCATATGCCCCTCGCAGGGCTGGTGTGATGCTTTTAGTTGGAAGGACCACTCCCTGCTAGCGGCATGACTATCATCCAGTGTTTGCTGGTCCTTAGTAGGTACTGAACAGTCCCACTTTGCCACCTCCTAACACACACACATACACACACTTGCTTTCAGAGTACCAGCACTGATGGCGTGAGGAATCCCTCGAGTCTTTTCATGCTGCTGTTTCCTTGAGAAATCATCAGCGCAGTGGGTGTTTGAGCAGAACATCAGGATGCTGAAAGACTCATTATATGGTGCGTCTTGGCCACAAAGAGGAAAAGGGTCACTGGTAACTAGCTTCAGAAATAATGATTTTTTTTTTTGCTCTTACAATCCCACTGCAGAGGCTGATGGGACATGAACCACAGCGGGGGACGCCGGCCACTGTGCTTTTAGAAGCTCTGTTAATGAGGCCACTGGCCAGAGAGCAGCAGGGTTAGCGAGTGCTGGGAAAGTCTCATGGCGCCGCTGTGATCAGACATCCCAGCTGTCCCCTCAGCTGTGGAGAACTCACGGTCTGGTACTCAAGGGCTTGATTTGTTCAGTCTAAGGGGGGACCCCCCACTTTCACGTAGAATTACTATGCTTATGCCCTGCCCCTGACCCATTTAATCACAATAGCTTTTAAAAGATGGTGCAACAACCCCGTCTCTTTGATACAGGCTTCAACAGCCAGTTCTCCTTGTGTGGGGAAACCCCCGGCTGCTTCTCGAGTCTTCCTGTTTGAAACCCCCAGTGTGGGGTTCATGTCAGGGAGGGTGGGTGGAGAAAGCATGTGGGGGTAGAGCGCCACTCTGCTCCAGCAATGCCCAGCTGCCAGCATGCCCATGGGGTGGGGAAGGAGATGCCAGTGAAGGCAGTAGGCATTGCCGGGGCCGTGCCCCGCTGAAAACCAGACCAGTAACTGCTCTCTGCCGGAGTTTCCTCACTTGTAAGGTGGGGGATAAGAACGATCCCCCCACTTTTGTAAAGTGTTTTGAGAGACTCAGATGAAGTGTGGCTAAGTGACGGCGCCGTGGCGTTGTCGTCACTCTGGATGCTGTCGGAGGGAAGGGATTCATTATAACGGGCATTTGTGTTATGAAAAAATCAGGGGAAAACGCTTAAGGGGGAAAAAGTCAAATCTGCTCTGCATTTTGGCGCTGCTGCTGCCCTTTGTGCCTTGTGACGTTAGGCCTGAGTCACGGTGCAGCACGAAATACGCTCGGGGTCACAGTAGAGCTGGTGTCCGGGCTGAACTTTGAGATCGGCAATTGCAGCTTTCCTACCTCCAACTGCCCCAGCACTTTGGATACAAGGTTTAGGTTTAGTCTCGTGCCCTGTGAAATGGCTGCGGTGCTTCAACGGTGGGAGAAGTGATCGGTGCATACGGTTTGTAAAAACCGTTGGAATAAAAGATATGCTATGCTATTAGCACTGACGTGATGCCTGTCCATGGAGGGAAGTAAAGGAAGACTGGGGATGTGTCAACAACAGCAGCACCAGCCTATGCCCCCACTTCCCACCCCCCAAACAGGCTTAGTTTCCTACTAAGCCTGCATTTGGAGCAAGATTTTACCAACCTATATTGTTTTAAACATAAAACTTGAAGCTGTAATTAGAATGGGGGGTAAGTCTTTGACCGCCCGCGGGACTGAATCCTGCTGCACCAGCCAGCCGTGGAGGGGCAAGTGTACCACAGCCTGCAAAGGCATGGCTGAGCTGCAGTGGCATGCACCTTCTGGAAGCCCCAAGGAGGAATTCTAGCTGACAGCCAGAGTAATCAGACAAGGGATCACGCTGGAGCATGGCCCCTTTGGAGCTCCTGCACAGGGACAGCAACCTCGCTGGAATCCTTGCTCCGACCTCTAACCTGCAGTCCAGGAGATGAAGTACTGCCCCTGTGGCCAAAGAGGGCATGAAGGCCGAGAACCTAAGAGTTAGGACACGCTGAGCTCCTTGGTGACCTCAAAGCTGAGATCACAATGAATGTCCAACATGACCTCAAGAAAATCTTTCCAAAGCCAGGGCCTGGGCTCTCTAAGGAGCAGGCTGTCCTTCATAGGTTGGGAGGTGACCTGCTTTCTCTAGAGAACACAGACCTCTCCATCCCAGACGGCTTTCGATGCCTGGGCCTGGTGCAGCCCGTGGGGCCTGGTTCCCCCTCACCTATGACTTTGGGGAGTGGAGTGAAAGCCCACAAATGGTCTCCTTGAGCAGGTACAGGAGTGGCTGGGTGTGTGGCATTTTGGAAACTGCAAATACAGATTCCCTTGTTGATGCGGAAAGGCGCTGCACGAGAGCCATGCACTGAAAGTGGAGTCTGGTTACTCCCCTTCAGAGCTTAAGCTGGTGACGCCAACTCAACGGTAAAATCACGGGAGACTTTGTTCTTCTCTAGCACCTTTCATCCAGGGAGCACAAAACTGTCTCAATCCCCACCGGGGATATGCTCATATGGAGAAACTGAGGCAGGGACTTTGCAAAATGTCTTGTGCAATGTCTCAACCAGCCATTAGCAGAGTCATGATGAATGAACCCGGGTTTGCTCCCTCTATTGCCGCCGTATGAAAGGCTGGTTAACAAGATCTGAGATGGACAGGCACAGGTGAATCAAGCCCAACTGTTCATGTAAAACACCAAACATACCTGGCCACATTAAAAAACAAAAACAAAAAACCCAACAGTGCAAAACAAATTAAACCTTTTAATTTCCTAGTGAGAATACTAAACAGGGGGTTCCTGGTCTCCAAGATACTCTTTCAATGCCCATCAAGTCACCTGGTTCTCTAAGACTCACAAGTTACAGCAGCATTTTCTTATAAAGGTGACAGTTGTTCCCCAAAGAATAAAGGCCAGTGCCTCAGCTGGTGTATATCCATCACTGAACTATAGCAGCCGAGCATCTGCCCCGGGGTCCTTTCCTCCGCACGTGGGAGAACCCATCGGCAGTAGCTCTGAAGGTTTTGATCCAGTGACGCTCCTACGCTGTATGCCAGTTTCCATGCGGTCCTGAAAGCAGCAATTGAAGTGTTCTCTGGGGTTCTGTTACCACGTGCAGGGCGACAGCACCTTGTTAAAGCATCTCTACGCAGCATCAGTGACATGGCCAGTACATTGGTGTGTCAGTCTCTGTGCTAGTTTGTGCACAAAAGCACTGAGGGGAGAGGAGGAGTGGGGGGGCTCACCACTGATACCACAGTCCCACCAGCCAGCCATGAGGCACTCCTAGGGCAGCAGCAGAAGCTAGAGGGTCAAGCGAGAGCGCCTGATGTCTCATGTCAAACTCCCACTGAGTCATGAATTTTTCACGGGTAGCAGGGGAGGAAACAGAACCAACCCGAGAGGCTGCAGGAACGGCTGTGAGATTACAGCCCCGCCTGTCACAGCAATCAATATTCCCCTCTGGAAAGCAGATTGCTGCTCCCGGTAGATCAAAGCAGCCGGGCTGACCATGTGCCTGCAATGGCAGGAGTTGGGCCTTTCCACACCAGCTCTAAGCACGAGCTGCTGGCGTTTCCCGTTATGTAGCGTGAAGTGATGGGAAAACAGGAGGAAGCAGTGACCATGGCATCCCACCCCCGTCCGCTGGGAAGCTCACCGGGTTGTAGAGTCATGTGAGAGAGGTTTTAATCCTAGCAGAACATCCTCCCACCGTAACACACTCAAAAGAAGCCCTGATTTGTTTCCCCTCAAGACAGACAACTCTGGGTTATTCGATGCGTCCAGTGCCTCTCTAATGCAATAGCACTGCAGCTATGGATGTTATTACCTTTGCTAACAACCGGTTTGTCACATCCATTTTCTGGAGGGTCCTATAGCTCCACAAGTCCTGGGATTCCCCTGGGATGAATGTTCTGTAGTCACTGCCCCTAGAACTGGCCAATGGCACCAGTGTTGTTTTGAGGGGAGGGGTTTGGTAGATGCCCTTCTACACTGGAGTCCTGGACAGATCGCATGCTGTGGCCACGATGCAGCGACCAAGGGAAGAGCCAGTAATTCATTCTGAGGCAGGGATTCAGTCCAGACCTTGGTGTGCTGCCGGCTTTTTGAGGTCATTAGTGTCTGAACAGCCCGGGCAGGGAAGGAAGGTTCCTCCCAGGACATGAGCAGCAGAATCAGGGCAGGGCAGAGGGTTGGCTGGTAAAGGTTTTTCCAGCCCGCCTGGGTTCTGGTCTCTGCTGACATCCAAAGAGCCTGGAAATTCAGAAACCTCAGGGTGTGCAAGATCCGAGTTCCTGTCACTAGGGTGCAGACCTTCGCTGGGTACAGGCTGCCAGGACCAGTGATCATGGCTGATGGAATTATCATCTCCCAAGGTGCTTTCCTCTTCCTGACTCTCACTGTCTGCTGTCGGCTGTCTTTTCTCACCCTGGTTCGAGAAAAGGCTGGGATTCCCCTTCTCCTCCAGACGACACTCCTTGGTTTTAATGCCCACAGCCTTCAGGATAGTGTCCATTTGCTTCATGTAGTCCAGGTGGCCATTCACCTGCAAAAAACAACACAGTCCCTTGATTATGAAAAGTCCCATTAATGCCCAACTACGCCAGATAGGCAGAGCTCTGCACACAGGGGCCAGCAGCTACAGGGAGAAATATGTCTGAAAAATTCAGTTCCCCAAGATTATTGGTGATTAACCACTATCCCAGCCACATGCAGATTCCCACTGGCTGCTCCATTCCTGCATCACTCCACACTCTTCATCACCTTTGCTCTATGAGCATTATTTATGCTGCGTGTTTAAAGCCTTGGCCACCTCTAGCTTTTAAGAAAAAGTCTTGTATGTTGTCAGGCTAAGAGAGGACGTGTTTGTAGTGGTTAGAGTTCGAGGCTGGGAGTCAGGAGGTCTGGGTTCTGTTTCTGGCTCTGCCACTGATTTGCTGTGGGCAAGTCCTCACCTCTCTGTGCCTTAGTTTCTCCCCCCGTAAAATGCAGATAATTGTGTCTACATCCGAGGTGTGTAGTGAGAATTAAGATGTATTAAGAGTTTTAAGGTTGTTGGATGGAACCTGAAATGAGACACTACTGAAACACTGTTCTAGCCTTAAGAACATACTGAGATAGGACTGTGTGTGGAGTATACATAAGGCAGGGCTCTCTCTTACATTGTGATCACATGTAATTACAAGATAACTACCTTCTGAGAGGCATATTGGACTCCTCCCTAAATCAGTGCAAGCAAGAGAGAGAAAAAATAGTCAGATTTCCCTCTGTTTAATTCTAATAATTATGTTTAAGTATAATCAGTTTAAAAGGAACAAGGGAACATTAAGGATCCTAACCCACCAGTCTGATGGCAGCCAGCTGCCTTTTCACTCCAAAGTGCAGCGTCTGCGGAGTGAGGCTTTTGAAGTAGTGCAGCTAAGATCCTCAATAGAAAAGACTTCTCTTTAAATATCCTTTTCTATTCTACTCAGCCAAATGTGCGGATGCATCTGCCAGCAGAAGAGAAACAGACTGGAATTACCATGAAAACGCCATTAGCCTGAGTCACGACTGCTTTCATGGCCCCCAGCTCAGCTGGCAGTAGAGATTTTAGCAGACTAAAGACGTATGATTTTTAATCCTAGGGGTCCCCAGTGTCTGCAGCCAATCCGCTGTCCAACAGCTGGCTCATAATGCACCATGATAGAAGTTCCTTCCTTACCCCAGCTGGTAATCAGCAACAGCCTGAAGCACGAACTCTAACAGCCTTGTTATTTGAATAAATATGTCTAATGCTTGAGCTTCATTTTTCAAAGATATTTACCCCACTAGAATAATGTTTGACCAACTAAGTCTATGTAGAGCTGCAAGGGATACAGCCAGTGGGGAATTCCCTTAGGACGGGGAGATCCCCAACTGCATCCTTAGGACACTTTTAAGTGCTGCAAAGGGGAGTTAGTCGGAATCAAAGATCTGGCCCAACTACTGGCAAAGCGAATAGAGTCTCCAGATACTAAACCAGTCCAGAATGATTTCATGTGAAGTCAAAATTCAAACCTAGCCATTTGCAGAAAGCAGCTTTTGAGTGGTAACATTTGGATGCACTTAGAACTTGGAGCGAATCGAAGGATTTAATCAGCACATTAATAATTCAATATGCAACTTTAATTAACCCAGATGGCTCAACAGGCTCGTTATATTTTGAACAGATTAGTACTTTAATTAAAATAACCACCAAAGGCCTAATGGATTGACTGTTCAGATGTGCACACTGTTCTCAGGAAAAGTATGAATCCTTTATTCATCAGTATGGGGGTTTAGGAGGCAGTGAAATAAAGGACGTTAGTTGAGAGGTGGATTAAGTGGAGAGGAACAGGTCCTGGATTTACTGGAAAATAAAATGTGTAAAGTCTCCTGTTTGGCTCCATTTCCATCCCGAGATGTGCTCCCTTTAAAGACAGCTGTTAGATTTCCTCTAGTTGGGCAAGACTGCTCAGCGAGCCAACTCTTGAAACCATTCTTACTACAGGGCTGATTCCATATGGTACAGAGCCCAGCGTCCAGGGACACATGAATTCTTACTGTTTGGTCTTACATGGACTTCAGCGGGCTGTGGATCGGGGCCTTAAGGAGAAGAGGTAGTCCCAAGGGACCTGTGCCCCCATGAAGCCTTATATGGAAGTGGAGATGATTGCCCAGGAGTTTGAAAAGCCAGATAAATGCAAGCGCTGTACAGAGCTTAATGGTAGGCAAGACTCTCCCAAAAGTGCACTACATACTGTAGAGCTGAGCAAAGAATTGCCAGCAAAAACTGTTAGCCAAATGGAAGAAGCCAGGGTTTCAGGGAAATTCCTCTGCCATCATGACTGGAAAGTGCAGCTGTTCTAGGTCCTTGACGGCCTGCTTTTGAAATGTAATCCATCCTTCAGAAATCTTGGCGGTTGCACCTCAGCTGTTGCACAAGGAGAGCCTTAAAAACAGGGAAGGAGGGGGAATCTAAAGGGTGCTTTTCAAAAAGTGTTATAAGGCTTTAATGGAAGAACAGAGAGTGTAAAATGCAAACACCTGTTTGATTATTCTTCGTGGCCAGCTGCAGTAAGAACTATAAAAAGAAATGCAATTAGAAAAGTGCTTTTCTGGCCAAAGTTATTACTTTATAGCTTGTGGCAGGAAAATAAAAATCATGGGCCAGATTCACCACTATGCACTGGTGGCCTTAGCCCGTTAAAGTGGGTTTTACAGTCGCTTGCGTCACCAGAGCGGCACAACGCTGCTGGACTGTACCACAAATTCTGCCCGAGTAGCACAGAACAAGGGTGTAGAAAGCTGCGGGTGTAGCTACCGACTTCTCCTCTGAACTACAATACAATTTAAAGGAGTCCCCATCAGAGACATTTTAGAAATGTTTTAAAATTCAGACCCATCCAAGAGTGCCAGAAATGTCCTTGTACATTCTCAGCTGTGCCTAATAATCAATTCAGGCGGAATGATTTCTGCTCAGTGTAATAAGTGCCTGGGGTTATGGTGTCATAAAAACGCAATTCAATTTGCAGGAGCTTTTAAAACAAAACAAAATGTTGTCCCATGCCTGAAAGCAAACCACTGACGGTCTCTGCCTGGAGACAAGTGATGGGCCTTCTGCCGTGGTTGCTGTTGACTGGATTAATGACAGCAATTCCAGGGGGAGAGGAGAGGGGGATACACAGCGGTGTCTGAAAAGTGATGACAATGGGATCAATTTGCAGTTATCACACGGCCTTCTGTTAGTCATAAGCTGTTGCTGGTCCTACAGCTCTGCTCAACTGACAGGGCTGTTTGAGAAGCTCTGAGAAGGAACAGATAAAGCAGCAGTATATGTATAAGAGAGGATCCTTGCCCAAGGATCAGGCTTCGAGAACAGGGAAGGGATTATTACAATTTTAAGCATTTTTGGCTATACGACTGCAAAACGTGACCTTCAACTGCGTACAACCTGGAGGCGACACTTGAGAGGGTGTATGGCGTGGTGGACAGGGAGTGACCTAGGAAGCAGGAGCCTCACTCTAATTTTGGCTTTGTCATTGACTCACGATCGGTATGAACCAGATTCCAATACCCTTAGTCAGGCTGTGTCTCATTAATTAGTAGTAGCAGCTAGAGACCCCTGCCTCCAACCCTGTTGTGGTAGTCACTATACGTTGTAACACAAAGCAAGAGAAAGTCAGGATCTGGAAGAATTTGCAGTCCAAACAGACAAGACAGACAGACGATGAGAGAGGAACCAGAGATGGGACGTTTCAGAGTAGCAGCCGTGTTAGTCTGTATCCGCGAAAAGAACAGGAGTACTTGTGGCACCTTAGAGACTAACCAATTTATTTGAGCATAAGCTTTCGTGGGCTACAGGAGAGATAAAGGGCAGAGCAGCTGAGCCAGGCAACGTTCCCCCTGCTCCAGCTGATGAGGCCTCGTGAGTATTCAGTGAGGATTACAAAGAAGCAATAAGCACATGGCCCTGGCAATGAACTCACGGGCACACTCTGCTGTTTACAGGAGCCCAGGACATCTGGATGGCTGAGAATCTCATTTTCTTTGATTTTCTTGACACTTGTAATATCCAGGGAGCAGCTTGTAATATTCACAGAGCAGCTTTATCATGCGGTTAAAAACCCCACAAACTAAAATGACAGCCCAGGATTGCCTTGCTGTGGTAGGGTCAGTGCGGCACTATCTTGCAGGAACCACAATAACAGGGTTTGCTTTAAAAAACAAACAAACAAACAAAAAAACCCCATCTACAATATTTTTAAAATTTATTTCTGTGTGAGATGGGTAGGGGTAATAAAGGGAATTGTTGCTTCTGGAGCACACACAATAATCATATCTTACTTTTATAAAGCACTGTTCTTCCCAAAGGACCATCAAATGCTCTACTTGCATAGACCATGCTAATGAAATGCAAGCACCGTTGGGGCAGAGCGCCTCAGCTGGGGGAGCAGTGAGCACCTTCATTTATTGTGAATTCATGTATTTATTTTCAATTATTTTCCTTTTCAGACTGTGTCACTGAATCTATTATTCATGACAAGAGTCAAATTAACAACTCTGGAGTCTGAAGTAAGTATCGGTTGAGCTGCCAGAGGTTTGCTGCTGCTGCTGCTAATAGAGGGAAGGAAATGCAAAGTCCCCCATCATATTCTCCTCCTAAAATCCCCAAATGGTTGTCGTCAGTACCACCTCAGTACCAGTGCGGCTCTGCTCTTCCAGCAGAAGGCAGCGAGGGCTGAGGGTAGGACACATGAGCAATGCCAGCCTTTCCAGTACCAAAATGCAGAGCATTAATCTCTGCCCAGTGGGAAGATTACTCTGGTCACAAAGCGACATTTGTCTGTAACCCTGATCCTGCAGGGTGTTGAGTACTTCCCACAAGATGGGAGTAGAGGACATACAGCCTGTCCCAGAAAAGGCTCAGTACCCTGTACTCTGAACCCTCACATCGACAGACCTAGAAGTGAAACAGCAAGGGCAGCGTAGCCTAGGAGTGAGAGGTATTGAGATGCACAGGGTCCCACCCGTGGAAAGGCAGAGTTCCAACAGGTCAGGATCGAGGTGCACTGGCAGAGTTGTATAGAACATATTATGGAGTCTCGGGCAGTGACTCCTTAGTTAAGGTTGAGTTCAGTTAAAGCAGAGTTAAAATCCTTTCGTTAGGCATGAAAGCAAATGTTGATCACAACCTAGATTACATCACTTACTGTTAGGACATGAAGTGATTTCTGGAAAAGTTGAAAGTGAATCTCTTCAGTAGTTCAGCAGCTGGAGTGAATTTTAGATGACCATTTTAAAAAACGTAGATCTGGTATCTAAATTTTTCCAGAGCCCTCTCACTTAAAAATGACTAGTTTTAACAGTTCAAACATACAGGAAAAGAGAATTTTTTCAAAAGCTCATGTACAGGCAAATTATAGGGTTAAAGCTGACATTATTTACATTATCCCTTGCTATCGTTTCTCTCCCTGTCACAAAAGCTGATAGAGTGAAAATCTGGGGGTCAATTTATCTGTAGTGTGACTCATCTGAAGTCAATGGAGCTACATCAAAGATAGACCGCCGGGCAGAAGTTATTTTCTTTTCTGAATTGTGCTCTCCCAGGGCTATATTTCTTATGAATTAAATAAACCACTCAATCCACATTTATTTCTCATTTCAAAGCAGGTTGAATTGTAGGTAAAAGTGGCCCTTTAATTACCGTGACATTTCTGGAGTAGGTGGAGATGGAGGGGCGCGTAATCATTATGTGCAATCATCTTTCTGACCCAAGCCTTATTGAGAAAGCCATTCTTACATAAGAGATGCTAGCTGATGGATATTGTCCCCAGATGCAGCTCAGGTCAATTTCACATGGATGCAATCTGAAGCACTTCTCCATAGAAACAGATAGCCAGGGCAATAAGCAACCCCGCCCCCGTGCCTCAGAGGTTTGTACTTCTCATCTCAGTGTCCTCTATGGCCGCTAATTAGGGGTTGATTTTGCAGAAGGGCTGAGGCCAGCCCATGCTTTTTGGCAAGTGTTGTTTGCACCTGCAATTTTATGCTTGAGAAATTAATGGTGGGTGTGATTATTCAGATTTGCACCTGCAGTTCATTCTGTGGCACACAGTGCCCCCGCAGAAGACAGACTGGACATTTAAACATGTGGCTGCTGTTGCTGCAAAACCATATTCATGCACAGCGAAATTATTTGTCCCAGCTTCTTGCTAATTATTTCATGCAAGTTGTGGGCCTCAGTTTCTTGCACTTACACCAGTTGTCTATGATTGTAACTCAATTGACTTAACGGATTTAAATTAGTGTGAGTGAAAGGCTGATACAGCTTTAATTCTAGCCACTCCCCGGACACGGAACAGTGGAAACCACAGGGAGAGCTCGCTTTAAACTGTTTGACGGCTGCAGTGGGAATGGCCAAGGAAGGAGTTGGGTAACATTTGTGGCTGAATGTTTGTGCTCAAGAAAGAGAAAAAGAGTGATATACACGTTGCCCTTCATTCTGGGATCTTCCTAGACCCTAACTGGAGAGAACAGTCTTGGCTATGAAATGAGAGATAGGGAAGCATTTTTCTGTCATGTAGAGTTTTCTCACAGCAGACGTCATGGCAAAGGGCTAATACAACAAGAGGCCTATCTAAACGTATGCATACACTTACCTACTTACAGCGGGCTAGTATAAATGTAAGTGTAATTCCCCTGAAATCAAGAGCATACCTGCTTACATCACATCTGAGCTTGGCTCAGCAATAGGTTCTCTGAATGCACATCGATTCCATTGTGACCATTTTCAGACCTAAAAATTAACAGCATGAAACTCCTTAGTTTGCTTTGATTCATTTTTTTCAACACCAGACCAAATTCACTCTCGTTCCAGGAGGAGTCAAATCTTAAAGGCAAGTTGAGTGCAAATCAAATGCTACAATGATTCACTCAGATGACTTGCCACCCTGGCTGTTCGGAAATGCCACATCACTTTGACAGCATAGGACTGCCAAATGCCAGACATGGATCTGAATGTGCTAATTATCAGTCTCCAACCAGAGCATCTGAGACATCCCAAAAGGGACCTTCTTACTAGACATGGTTGGAATCTGGAAATTCCATTCCTTGGGAAATTCTGGCATTTCAGGGGGAAGGTGGGGGAAACGACACATGACTTCTGAATTGAAACAAGAAGACAGACATTTCTCATAAATGAATATTAAAAAAAAAATGTAACTGACAGCGTTGTCTTGCTACATGTCACTTCAACTTTTACATTAAATGAAAATATCAAATATAACATTGTATACATAGTATTAAATATAAATATATCAACACTCATATTTTAATAGAATGTAAAAGTTGAAACTAAATGAATCAAAATGATGTTGAAATTAAACGTTTCAACTTTTCCCATCTAAAGTGTCAAAATCAACATTCTGATTTCAACAAAACTGCATTTTTGATGGCAAATTGTTCTGTTGAAAAATTTTGAGCTCTACTTCTAATCTTATATATATTGCACCTAAAGTGGCAGTATAATGGAGAGGAGAAGAGACGAAAAAAAGAATGGAGTCAGAATATGACAAAGAAAAAATTAGAGGGATTAAGAGTGGGAAGAAAGACAGAGAAGAGAAGATACATTGATAAACCACCGGAGGTGACTGGGGTAGAGCTCATACATAGGAATGGCAGAATTGGATTTTTAATACAATTTTGACAGATAACATCAATGTTTATTTTTAAGCATATTTTTAAATGTTTACCAATTTAAATTTTCACAGCTGTGGAAAATTATGGAGGGCTGCCAGTCAATGGGCTGTTGTAGCTTTGTCAGTTCCAGGATATTAGAGAGACCAGGTGAGTGAGGTAATAATTTACCATACTGCTGGGGAGGTTCGCATGACCTCTCTTGTGGCTTCCCTTTGCTTCCCCATCAGAAAGTAATTTTTCTGCAGGGAAGCAAAGAAATCTGTGGGGGACACAAATTCTGCGGACACGCATTGGCGCGGAATTCCCCCAGGAATAACTCCAACACATTCAACAACAGATCAGTGACAACAATACTATTCAGCAACTCTGTCACCTGAAATGAGCTATCTCAGAGAAAGCTTCCTTCTTGGTCATCTTGGAGGGGACTGATCGCCCCCCTCATCCCATTCTTGATCAAGGAACACATATGCTCCTTCTCTCATTCTGTTCCTGATTCAGGAACGTACAGGATTTGGCATCTGAATATCATTGGCTTAGGGCTCTCTGAGTCAGATCTTCAGCTGGTATAAATCAGAATTGTCCCATTGACTTCCACTGAAGCCATGCCAATTTGCAACAGCTGAGGATCTGGCCCCATGGTGGAGAGAGGACGTGAGCTTTCTCAGATTGTGATGCCAACCCATCCTTCCCCCACAATCTCCTAGAAATTTCTGTCTCTAGGACAGGCACCAGCTAATGATCTGTTGACTCTGAAATCCTGCTAACTTTCCATATATCAAATCATGACTCAAATTCAAAGACGCCAGGAAAGAAGAGGAAATTGGTAACTTCAGAAGGGCCTATTTGAAGCAGCCTTCTTCAATCCCTTCATCTGCAGCTGGACCATAATAACCAGCTTCACAGCCACTGCCACTCCACCAGCATCCGAAATTCCGCTCAAGAGGAGATTCATCAGTTCTACTGTCACATCTGCTTGTACTGAACACCTTTGCAAGGGCTCTGGATTGCATTTCCCTTGACTCTCAATGTGTCAAGGAAAATTATAAGATAGAAATGATTGCAGACAGTGATAAGAGGAAAGCAGGTGGTGGTTGCCAGTCTGCCAGTGTCTCTTAGAAAAAGTTATTGGAGTTCTAGACCCCAGCAGGGTCATGCACAAAACCCCCCTTCAGAACTATCAGACATTCAGAATCCAAACTGCCCCGTTTCCACTCCCCTCTTTACAGAAAGGAGCATTTCCAGGAGGAAGCTGTGTTATTTCAGCAGAATGTTCATGACACCAGATTTATAAGGTTCTTGCTGCCTCTATGACCCTTTCCAGTTACAGGGGTTTCTAACTCAGCCGCTTTAAACTTGCACCAGGCTAAAACTTGGAAAGCAGATGGTCAGCCTGGATGCCACATAGCTTTTCTATGAAGTAGCTCAAACCGTCAAGATCTGTAACAGTCAAAGAATGAACAGCTTGCGGGGTTTTAAAAAAATCCCCATGCATTAAAAACAGCTTCATTTCACTTCTGAAACGTTGCTAGTTCGTCCTTTGTGTGAATTGCTGTTTTTTGCTACGGCTGGGAACCGTGCTGCTGTAATGATCAGATAATGAGCTTGCCTTTCTCTAGTGCCTGGCATCCAAATGAATCCCTTCATGTGTTACAAATTTTGTACTGTGCGTACACTTTGCCCACCACTGATATGCAGCCGCCTCTGGCGTGAAAGGCAGGATAGCTAAATCTGCACATACCACTTGTGATTACAGCTACATGGAATCATAGAGTTTAAGGCTGGAAGGGATCACTAGATCATCTACTCTGACCTCCTGGATATCACAGGCCACCAACACCACCCAGCACCCACACACTAAACCCAACAACCGAAATTAGACCAAAGTATTAGAGCCACCGGAGACTAGTCTATTATGTGCCACAGGAGAGAACAGGAAGGATTAACATGCACAAGTGCCAGAGGTCCTCACAATGGCAGGGACAGAATTAAGTGAGATGCACCCAGATAATCCTGGCAAGTAACCTGTACCCACATGCTGTGGACGAAGATGAAACCTGCCTGAGTGTCGCTGCCAATCTGACCTGGGAGAAAATTCCTTCTCTACCCCACATGTGGTGATCAGTTAGACCCTGACCACGAGAGCAAGATCAGCCAGCCAAGCACCTGAATGAGAGAATGCTTGGTGCCACCTCAGAGCCCCGGCCATTCCACCCAATGTCCCATCACTAGCCACGGCCACCCCCGACTCTTCAGAGGAAGGACATAAAAGAAACAAATCAGAATACATGGTGGGTGGTGGTAGTGGGGTAGTGAATCCCTTCCTGATCCCGGCTGGTGGCTGGCTGAAACCCTGAAGCCTCAGCTTTCAGGAATGTCAGACATAAACCGGAACTGAGTCCCAAGACGCCTGAACCATGCCATTTACCTCATAAGCAACCCTATCATACAATCCCACTCAGAAATTTGTCTAGCTCTCTCGAAACTAATTAAGTTGTTTGCCCCCACAACTCCCGCGAGGAGGCTGTTCCAAAATCTCACCCCTCCGATGGTTAGAAACTGTCTTCTAATTTCCAGCCTGAATTTGTCCATGGCCAGTTTATATCCATTAGTTCTTGCGTCTACAGATCAGTCCTTCTACCTACCTGTTTGCTCCATCCATAGAGCCCTGTGCAGATACAAAATGTGTACTTGCATCCGCGCCACAAAAATGGTCCGCAGATATCCGTAGCCATGGATGCGGCTATCTGAGGATATAAAGCGGATGGATATCCACGGATTTGCAGGGCTCTATTCATCCCCGTTTTTTCTTGCCTTTTAGATGGTAAACTCTCAGGGATGGTCACTTACTAGCATGATGAGGCTCAATATAGTGGAGTCCTCTAAGCCCTACCACAATATAAACTATAAATACAACAACTCTACGCAATGGTTTAGGAGAAGAACTGAAGAATTCCATACACAGTTGAAATTCCTGCGGGAACTGTAGGCAGACAGAATATAATTATCTAGGAGACTGTAAGCATCAGGCCCTCAGTTTTACATCTCACTTTAAAGATGGCACCTTCCAGCAACACAGCACCCGTAGGATCACTCTGCAGATATCAATAGTGACTCAGAGGGAGGAGTATCACCTGCTGTTAGTCATCAACGCCATTACTTACTGCACAGGGATTTCCCTCAGCTTTTATCCTGACCAGGCCTGATTCTGCGTGGCTTGTAAACTTTGATGAGGTAGCAGGAATTCAGAGGCTAACAGGAAGTGCTAACTTGTCCACGGTACTTTATCTACATTATGAGCGTCAATAACATGTTATGGTACAACTGTAAAATCTCAAACACGTCTGGAAACTACGTGATGGGTGATATGCCTTGTAAACACAGCGAGTTAGGGGAGTCAATTTTCTACTTCATTAACCGTTTTAATTGGCTTTAAAATCTGAATTTTCTTTTCATATGTTGGCATAAGAAAATAGAAAGGAAATGAAACCCAAACGGAAATACTTTGTTGAAATACCGTTTATGTAAACACAAGGCAGAAATATCCAGGCAACGTACAATGTGCTCTGTCCTTAAAAGCACCTTGCTGTGACTCTTATGGGGCCTGATCCTGCTATCCTTATTCAGGGAAGACTCCCATTGATTTTGCGGGGAGTTTTGCCTGAATGGACTCATAGACTTTCCAGTCAGAAGGGACCGTCATGATCACAGACTTCGTGATCTGGACAATTATTTGTAACATTAATAACTGTGTGATGATCTGTTATTCCTATACACCGTGAGCCCAGTCAGGGACGGAGTCTGAGCCTTCGGGATCTACTAGGAGGGTTTATCTCAAATGCAATGTTCTCCAACATTTAAAACATCTCCCAGGGGTGCCCGAGATGTTGCAAAGTGTCGTGCTGCGGGGAAGGGAACACGTGCTCCTGTATCACATCAATACCGTTCCTGGTTACTTAGCGGAGAATCTCAGGTGGGAGATTGCATACTTTGGATTGTGTTGTTATTTAAACTATGACACTCCCCCCGCCCGCCACCACACGTCTCTCTTTCAAAATCATTTCCGCAGCGTTCTGTGGCTGGTGCTAAGCCGACAGCCCT